CTCTTACACGTATATAGTAGAAAGCATCAGTACAGATTTCTTATTCTATCAGTTTTTGTGTAATATTGATAAAAAGCAATCTCCTATTTTAAAACCTTTTCGTGATATTTCCTCGATAGAAATAATATTTTCTTCATCCGTTACGTGAGCAAGTCCACACCAAAATATAGTACTGTCCATTGGATTTTCGAAATACGGTGTTAACTTAAAATTTTTATATTTAATACAAAATGCGTTATTAATTCGAAAAATATCAGTTATTTTTATGGCTACGTTATTTTTTAAAAGAAAATTACAATTGGGTTCTTTAGTTTCAATTTTGAAATTTTTATAATGTATTGCTGAAAAACTTTCCACCAATTTATCGTTTACCAAAGCAAAACCATTTTCTGTCAGATAAAGTTTTTCTTCTTTTTTATGTAGAGCATATGTATTAAATTCATTAACTCTCTTTATGAATTGAGATAATGGTTTATTAGATGTTTTAACATCATTTTAATTATATGCATGTAATTTTCGAAAGGAAAACAGCTAAAGTTACCCGAAGAATCAAATTTTTTCACGTCTGATGTTAAATGAATCAAATTGTGAACATTGCGGTTAACATATTCATTTCCATATAAATTGCCGAATTTATTTACAAAATACATTAATAATTCATTAGCATAATCAATATATTTTTCTATCAAATCGTCAGAAATCAAAATCCGAATTGCACAATGTAAAGAAAGAAAATGACGAAAGTATTGCTCTTTTAAAAATTGTTTCATAAGCCATGGACCATAATAAAGCAAAAAGGTTCTCAGTTCAACAGCTTTCCATCTTTCATACTCTGTTATTCGTCTTGGTTTTCTTGAAAACTCATAAGGAGTTGATTCGTAAACTAATTTTAATTTTTCGTTAATCATATCAATATCTTCTTTAAATAGACGAACTTCTTGATTTCCTTTAATCCAAAAGGCCAATAAACGTTTCATAATTCCCAGTAATATTAAATGCATATAATCCAAAGGAACGCACGTAACAAGATCAATTTTTAAATCACATAGAAGAGATGTTCCTTTATGATAATCTTCATCAGTTTGAGAATAGAATTCATCATTTGTTCTTAATTTTGAATTTAATTCTGGAAAAGTCATTCTATTGTTTCGAAATAATCCTTCAGCCCAACATTTAGTACAGCTTTGGTACGAATTGAAATTTTTTATACATAATACAAAAGATTTCGCAGGAGCATCACAAAGAATTTTACTAATATTTACTTGTACAATTCTATTATTGAAATTTAAACCTTCTTTTTGTAACATTTTCATTTCTTCAATAAATCTTAATAGAAACATGTTAGAATCAGAAGGTTTACTTTCCCCGTGATATATACCTACTGGAAATGGTTTTACTTTTTCTAATTCATCTATTTTACTCAAAATAGGCCAAAATTGACTATTACTACTTTTCGTCAGAGGAAGTCCATCAATATTGATTGATATATTAACTTTATCACCTCCAAAATTATTCTGATTTAATTTTAACAATAACTGTGATTTCAACCCAAAATGATAATATTTTCCAGGATGTAAATTAATAATCTTATTACTAATATCTTCAGTTTTTAAAATAGTACGTGCATCTGAAGGCAATGAATGTAAATTAAAGTCCAATTTTATTATTTTTAATAAATCACTAACAGCAGTTTGTGCAATATGATGTTCAATTGCCCAACATCTAAGATGATTTTTAAAATTCTCAATTAACAATTCGGATTTAACACATGTAGACGATTCAGATACGTAAGACAATAAATCGCTTGCAATTTCATTGATTTGTGTTGTATTTTGAATGCTTGGAGAAGTAATTGAAAAATTGGAAGATAATGAAGCACTTGGAATCTCATCGACTTTCACTGTATTTTGAATGCTTGGCGAAGTAAGCTTGGGAAATTGGAAGATAATGGTTCTTCTAATTGAGCAAATGAAGAAATAGGAGTTTTAGTTATTTCCTTCTTCTGAGAATATTCCTGTTTTCTCATATATTTTTTAGAATTTTTACTTATATTTTTATGCAGGAGTCTCTTTAGATATTTTTCATTGTGATATTTTTTGTAAAACTAAAAGTAAAAGGAAGTCTATGTACAAATTTTTTTCAGTATATAGTCTTATTCATACTACGTTTAGACTTTTAATACATTGTAATAATTACAGCTAAATTTATATCTAATTAATTAATATATACTATATGTAAATAATTAACAGAATAAATTAAAACAATATGCAGGATGACACACACACACGCACACGCACACGCACACGCACACGCACACGCACACGCACACGCACACGCACAACGCACGACACGCACGCACGCACGCACGCACGCACGCACGCACGCACGCACGCACGCACGCACGCACGCACGCACGCTACGCACGC